TTGTCTTGAAGCTTCAGCATCACCTCCTTCACAAGGTCAGAAGAGGGTGAGAAAATGAGGATGTCATCCACATAAACCACCATGAAACTCCTCTGCTCCCCCTCGCCAAGCATGAACAAGGAGTGATCGGCCGTTGAGGGAGTGAAGCCGATCCCCTCCAACACTTCGCGCAGCTTCATGTACCATTGCCTAGGGGCCTGCTTCAGCCCATAGAGGGCCTTCTTCAGCTTCCACACTCTGCCACTACCATCATCAAACCCCTCTGGCTGCGCCATAAAAATCTCCTCCTCAAGGATGCCGTTAAGGAATGCCGTTACGATGTCCATTTGCTTTACTACCCATCCTTTGATGGCGGCTCCCGCGAATAGGGTTCGCAGCGTCGTCGGCTTCACCACAGGGGCAAACAGCTCCTTGAAGTCCACCTTCTCCTTCTGCTGGTACCCCTTGGCTACAAGCCTAGACTTGTAGCGCTCGATCTTGCCGTCGGCATCCGACTTGATTTTGAAGAGCCACTTGGACGTTATCGCCGTACGCCCCTCCGGTAGCTCCACCAATTCAAACGTGTCATTCTCCTCGATGCTCTTCAGCTCACTCTCCATGGCCTTCTTCCACTCCTCAGCATCACTACTCTCCAAAGCCTCCTTGAGAGTTGCTGGTTCTCCCGGCATCTCCACCGGAGAGAAGAACGCGAAGGCACACTCCTCGTAGTCACTCTCCTCGTCGTCTCCGACCATCATTGCCGCTCCGGCCAGGGCTGTCTTGCCCTGCTTTCCCGGCGCATCATAGGTCAGCCTATTAGGGGGTTGAACTCTCCTCTTCCCCCTTCCTTCCTCCTCAGCTGCAGGGACTTGAAGGCCTTGGCGTTGCTGCGGTGTGGCTCGAATCCGTGGAGCACTCGTAGTACGGGAAGGGAGTGACGGTGCACGCTCGCTCACTTGCTGCACCTCCTCCTCTTCTTCCTCTGCATCATTGGCCTCCTCTCCCCCATTCACAAGGGAGGATTGCCTTGTGCTTGTGCTGCCGCTGCTCAGCTCCAAAGGCAGCTCCACATGCTCCAAACCGGAACTCTTCACCTCCCCAAACCGCACGCCTATCTTCGCCTCATTCTCCGCCTTCCAATCCTTGTACATGAAGTTCTCCATGAACTTGCAGTCCCTGCTCACCAAGAACTTCTTGGTGAATGGGTCCCAAAGAAGCCATCCCTTGCTGTTTTGAGCCATGCCCAAGTGCACGGCCCACACCGCCTTGGCACCAAGCTTGTTGTGCCGAAGATGCTTAGGCACGAGCGCCATGCACATGCACCCGAACACCCGAAGCATATCCACCTTTGGCTTCCTTCCTAGCCACTCCACATAGGGCACCCATTTGTCTGCTCCCACATGAGTCAAGGCTCTGTTCTTGGCCACACACGCGCTCCGCACCGCATCAGGCCAGAAATAGTCGGGTAGCCCGGCTTCAATGAGCAACCCGCGTGCCGCCTCCGTGATTGTGCGGTTCGCTCGCTCGGCGATGCCGTTCGTTGCGGGGGAGTATGGCATGGTGAGGGAGTGCCGAATACCATTCTTCTTCAGCCACAACCCAAACTCCTTGCTCAGGAACTCTCCCCCTCGATCGGTGCGGATTGACTTGACTAGACGGTCTTGTTGCCGCTCCACCATCGGGAACCAATCCATCTTCAACGTTTCAGCCACGTCGCTCTTCTTGGCCAGCACGTACACCCAAGTCATGCGGGTGTAGACGTCGACAATGGTGAGAAAATACTCAGCTCCAGCAGCTCCAAGCTTCAGGGGGCCCACCACGTCCATCACCACCTCATCAAGCGGTGCCTTTGCCGTTGCCTCCGAACTAGGGAACGAAAACCGGGTGAACTTGGCTTGAATGCACGTCGGGCAGCCAAGCACCTCATCGGGCTCCCCCTTCACACGTATGCCAGCAACCATCTCATTCTTCACTAGCTGCTGCAAGATGGGCAGGGCCACATGCCCCATGCGCCGATGCAAGGTGAGCCAATCACACTCCCCCGTAGCCGAAGTTGGATTGGAGAATGCCGCGCTCGCAATAGCGCCCCACATACTCTCTCCGTAGTCCTCCTCCGCTGCTGCCTCTGGGTTCTCCTCACCCTTTTGCTGCTCCTTGGTTGCTGCACCACTATCCTTAGGTTCACTGAACTTGCTGGTCCCTCCAGGTTTGCTCTTCTTGAGCTCATTCTCCTTAGCGCGACCGTTCGCGCCATCGTCGCTACCGACCGCTCCATCCTTGGTGCTGATGCTTGCTGCCACTTGCCTCTCCTTAGGCATAGGGACCACTGGGATCTGCCACATCTCGTTGTAGACATCCCTGTCCTCATGAAGGTCCCAAAGAATTCGATCGCCAAGCCTTGCGGTGTAGGTCTTGGCTCCCTTCGAGTTCGTGTCCATGCCGGCCTTTGCCAACCGCCGCACGGAAATCAGGTTTGCAGCAAGGCTGGGCACCCAAAGCACGTTCTTGAGGCCCACCATCTTCCCATCAGCACCCTTGAATATGGCCTTGCCCATGCCTTTCACCTCTGCTCGCTGCCCCAAAGCCGATGTGACATGCTTCACCGGTGACGGCTCGAGTTCGGTGAGCAAGTCCGGGCGAGGTGTCATGCTATAGGTAGCGCCACTATCAATCACCCAATAGTCCAGGGGATGTAGGGTCACCTTCCCCACAGCTGCTGGCTCCTCAAAGCCTTCATCCTTCTCTGGACCAGCCGGTACTTGCGTCGACACGAAGTAGAATAGACCCGGGTATCGATCGTCGCTCGGGTCCTTGTCGTTGTCTCCGCTCTTCATGTTTGCAGCTCCGCCACCGCGACCGCCACGGCCTCCACGGCCTCGTCCTCTCCCTCCTCCTGCTCCTCTACCCTCTTGGCCTTGAGCAGGGGTCCAACCATCAGGGAGTTTGTAGCAGTCGCGCCACATGTGTCCGCTCTTGTGGCAATAGTGACACTCGCCGTCGAATCGGCCGCGACCGCGTCCGTAGCTCTTGTCGTCGCTGCCGTAACCGCCACTCCTGCGGCCTCCGCCGAAGTTGCTGCCACCAAACCTTCCTCCCCCTCGTCCTCTGCCTCTTCCTCGACCATATCCACGGCCGATGCTCGCTGCCCCAGCGCCATCCGCACTCGCCAACTCACGGCGGCGGAAATCCTCTTGAAGGATAGCTCGCTTCACGTCTTCAAGCGAGAGGCGGGGCAAGTCGCGATTAAGGTTGATGATGAGCAAGGACCATGACTCTGGGAGTAAGGCCAGCAACTTGGTCTTCTTTTGGAGCTCACTGTAGTTCAAATCAGCTCCCTCAAGCCGCGTCAACAAGTCGAAGAATTTCTGCACCCCTTCTTCAACCGCTTCGTTTTCTTCAATTCGTAGTGCCGCCATTTGCCGTTCCAACACCACCGCTACCGCCGCTGTTGCAGGAGCATGTACACCCTTGAGAGCAGCCCATGCCTTTGGTCCTTTCTCTGGTTCACGCTGGAATGGCTTGATGTGACGGATCTGACTGCTCCCCAACGCTTGCCCAAGTAAGAGATAGCCTTGTGCGCTCTTCCGCACCCACGGGCTCTTCTCCGGGTCGTTCTCGGGGCGCTTCTCCGTTCCTTCCATCACCTCCAGCAGGTCATAGTGGTCAAAGATGTTCTCCATCTTGAAGGACCATTCAGCAAAGTTGTCACCGTTGAACTTATCAAGCCCAAACACCCTAGGCTCATCCCTAGGTGGGCCAAGACTTGGTTGCATGGGCGCCATGGCTGAATCACGGGGTTGGCCTTGAGCTTGAGCTTCTCCACTGCCACCAGCACCTCTGCCACCCCTTTCCTCAGGTCCAGACATTGTCGAAACTGCTCCAAGGGGCTCTAATACCACTTGTTATAGTCACAATAGGCTTGAATGTGCCTAAAACGAAAGATAGAGAGCACAGACGGATTTCTGCACAGCGGCTTCAAACGTTGATAGCGTTCTGCTCACAGCTGCAAATGACTTGATTCAAATTGGATCTGGAGCGTTTTCACGTCGTCTACAATTAGCAATTTAGATTGCACGATTTGATAAAGAATTGACGACACAGCGTCGGTTTGAACGAACGGTACTATGGCAGCCACTATAGTCTTAGAACACAAGATAGGAAGAGTTACGAGTTGGGAATGACTCCCAGCTCCTACAAACCCCAAGAGCCGAGGTACAGTGATGTGGAACAGTGCCACACTGTCCCCAACCACGAAGGGTCTCGAAACTACCCTTCACTAGGGCCTACACCAAGTGAAATGTTACACTACACAAAGTAATGTAACTATCTTCAATATCTTGAGGTGTACCCTTTTGGCGAGCTTCGAAATCACTTGAGGCTTGACACCAAGGCTCGGGCTCCTCATCACAAACTCATCCTTGAGTTCTTGATGGGTCTGCTGCACACACCTGCGACACGCCGAACGTTCGACACAGGACAAAATAGAAACCGCGCACGACAAAATAGAAACCGCGCGCGAGACACAAACGACCGCGTAACACGCGTCTAGCGATAACTCGCTATTGACTCGACACACACACTCGACATCATGACTCAACATTCACACACAATTATAAGCATGAAATATATATTATCCCATGCCCTCATACCATTCCATACACACACACATTCACGCACACGGACAACAAGCCGAGTGCAAACCGTAGGGTTGCACCAACAGCATTGTTCATTAAGTTTTGCCCTAAACTGATCAACGAATGGTTCAATTGATCACAACTATACATAAATAGTGAAGATTATGATATTGAGGTGGGATATGGCCGAATACATGTCGTAATAGCCACAAAATTTTTACATTTGTCACGCCAGAGTTGCGTCGAAGCAACTCAAAAATTGTTGCTGCATAGTCACTTTGGCCACCTTGCGATGAATGTGCACGCCGAAGGTTTCCTGAAGCTTTTCCAAAGCTTTTCCGCAGGAAAAGCTACCGTGTACATTTAATGCCCACAAGGAATTTCGCGATGAACCCGTCCGATTCGCTTCGTAGAACGTGGATGTCATTGTGTCTTGCCCTCATCCTCCCCTTCCCACAACCCCTCCATCCCCTTCGTCCCCGCGCCCTCTCCAGGAACGCCATCGGCAATTACAACCTCCTCGTCGAGGCGCTCCTGGTCGACGCGGCGGGCAGTCCGCCCGACTCGCTCGCGATCGTAAAGGGCGCCGTGTGCGACGCCGCTGCGACTGACGTCCTAGCGCTGCCGCTCGCCGTGTCGGACTGGCAGCAGCGCGCGGGGTGGTGGCTGCTGCACGCGGAGGCGCGCCTCGACGCGTTCCTCGAGAACGCGGACGCCGCCACCCTCGACGTGCTGCTCGCGGTTCTCCCCAACGCCTCGCTTCCGCGCAAGAACGGCGGGCGCAACGGCGGAGGCAGCGCGGGTGGCGTGCAGAACGGGCAGGGCGGGAGACGCATGGGGCGGGAACTGCTGATGCGCGCAGTGGGTCGCGCTGCCAGGCAGGCGGGGCAGAAGCAGGGGGGGCAGCAGCAGCCGCCTGCAGGTGGCTTTTCAGGTCGACTTCCAGGTGGTGATGGCGGGGTGAACAGCACAGTGAGCGGGTATGCTGTGCTGGCGGGCAGCAGCGCAGCAGGTGTTGCTGTGAGGTGGGGCGGGCAGCTCATGGGGCCAAGATGCCCTCTGCTGCTGTTTAGTGCTTCGCTAGTGCTGCTGCCGGTTTCGCTGCTGCTTGAGATGGCGACAGCTGACAGGGTTTGGGGGACGGAGCTCAGCTTGATGGATAGCTACTGTCCACAGCTGCTTCAGTCATGGTGGTGAATGCCTAGGTAGCTTTTCTTTGTTTCATGTTGAAGTAGCTAAATCAAGTCAAAGCAGCAGGGGCAGGAATGCTGGCAAGGTATCAAAGCATCAAGCTGACTTGCCAGTCTTCCTGCCCCTGCATGGTTCATGACATGTGCCGTAACATTGTTCAGTAAAGTTACCGTATGCAAACAGATTGCCATTCGTGAATGTGCTACTGGCATCTCTGGTAGTGTTGGGGTTTGTCTCTTCAGTATGCTGTGGAGCTTGTTGGAAACAAGTAACTTAACGCTTCCTATGTGTCGTAACATCGAATCGTAAATGAGGCAAGCTACAGCAAAGCAATGGCGAGTCAACCGAGGAGGTTGGCAGAAAAGTAACAGCTGGAGGTTACGCGAAGGTCAAAGGTCAGCGACCTTTGACTCGACGAATACAGCGCGACAGCAAGGACAAACAACTGACTCGATACTGAGCAGTTGCCCGAGTCGTCACTGTATCGAACCGCAACAGCAACAGTAAAACGGTTATTGCATCCTTTCATATTCCTTGTAATCTTATAAAAGCTTGTATTACCTTTTTATAATTTAATCTATCTTGTTCTCACATACTAGTACAAGGTGGTTCAACAACTTCTCATTAAAACGCCTCCGCAATACAACATTCCTATCAGAGTCTTAGCCTTGAAAGATCCAAAGGGCTTTTCTCAGCCCAACATGGTATGAGAGCAGACAAGGCAAGAATCAACTTCGTTTAAGCTCCTACGACATCAGAAGACATGGCAACACAGAAGGAGAGAAGCTCCTCTAATGGCTCTCCTGGCACTACCCCCACTCCACCTCTAGCTTCTGGCCTACAGACAGAAGGAGGCACAGCAACAAGACCAGCTGCTGAGTCTACTGAAACTCCTGCAAACCAGGCATCGGGTTTTGACCCAAACATGATGGAGAAGTTCTTCATGTCCTTCTATGAGCAGCACCAACAAACATCACCTGCGCAATCAAACAACAGCGACAACAACAATGGCGTTACTCCAATGAGCCTTGGCGGCTCATCCTATGCGCGCGGGAATCAGCAGCAACCTACTTTCGCTCCGTATGAGCCTCAACGCGGCTCCATCAGCTTTACGCCACACCAGCAGCCTTCACCTGGACAAGAGAAGACACTGGACGCACTTCAGGTTCAATCGCAGTTCGCACACATTCTGAAACTGCAGACATCAACACCCTTTGACGGAAAGGACTTCTATACCTGGTCATTTGAGTTTGAGCTGATGATGGAAGGCGCGCAGATTCTCGGATTCTTCGACGGATCCCTGCCATACCCAACACAAGGGACGCAGTACGACAAGCAACAGTACACGTATCAGTCGCTGATGGCGTATACAATTCTTCTGCGAAACATAACGCTGAATGAGCGGCAAAACATCCGGTCTTATCGTGGATACGGCAACTCCGCCGAGCTCGCGTACAACCACCTGAAGAGCCTGTATCAAGCAACGGACAGTGTTAACCAAAGTCGTCTCATGGCACAGCTGACAACAGTGGAAATGAAACCCGGCGAAAAGGGGATGGCGTATATCAGCCGTTGTCGTGGACTGCGTGACAGACTCCTTCGATGCGGAGGATCGATATCCGAAGAAGCCTTTGTGACAGTTGTCATCACTGGCCTCGGTCCTCATTGGCGCTCCACTCGAGCTATCTTCCGAGCTTACGGGAAGATCTCCGAAGCAGCACTCTGCGCCAAATTCCACGCCGAGCAGCAGGACATGGACCTGCACGAAGAACGACACAAGAAAAGGGCGTCAGTACCTGAGTTCGCGTTCCACACTCAACGGCGCTACAACAACAACCGACAGAACAAAGATCAAACTCAACAGAACGTACCGCCGTTTTGCCATCTCTGCAAGACGTCCGGACACCCTCGCACTCACTGCCCGAATCAACAACAGTCAACACCGCCGCAACGCCAGCTTCGACCTTCAAGCAGTCAAGTGGCTTCTACACAGGCGCATCCCACCAATCAAGAACAGTCAACATCGACGACAAAATCTGCACAAGGCACAAGAAACATCGTAAGCTGTATGGCAAGAACGACTGACTCCTGCATCACCGGATCACCACCGTACTACTCACCAGAAGAACAGCTCGACGAAAGCATCCCTCGCCGCGAATCACTGAAGCCCAACCCGACGTACGCAGCCATCGCCCAGAGCGAACCGTCCGGGAAAGACACCTGGTTCTTGGACAGTTGCTGCGGACAGCACATGTGCTCCTCGGGTCGCTTCGTTCAACGGGAACACCAAATGCAGCGTGAAGTCGTCATCACCATCGCCAACAATCAGAACCTGCGCACACGACGACAAGGAGTAGTTCAGCTTCAGTCGCGAGAAACTAACGTTATCCTGCAAATGTCGAAAGTCTTAATTGCAGAAGGACTCGGCTACAACTTACTGAGCGTCAGTCAACTCATGGCGAAGGGAATCCACCTTGAAGCAGACAGCACCACCCAGGAGTTCAAACTGTACAACGGGAAAGGCAGACTGTACATCGGAAAGGCCATATTGAAGAATAATGTCTTCGTCCTCGACTTCGTTCCAGATCAAGGCACCGCCGACAGCGACGGAATCGTCAGCTTCACTTCCTGGACACACCCACCGGATCTCGACCCCGACTTCAGTCCCGGCGGCTTCTGGTACTCGAACACCATACCTGAACCAGAACGGACGAGAGCATTAGCAACAATCCAAACAACATCAGCAGCAGAGACAACACCGGCAGCAGCAGAGACAACACCGGCAGCAGCAGAGACAACACCGGCAGCAGCAGAGACAACACAGACAACAGCAGAAACAACATCGGCAGCAGCTGAGACAACACAAGCACCAATCGCTGGTCCTTCAACAGCACCAGTCTTCATCGACGGCACGCCACCGACTCCTGCGCAACAGCTGACTCCCACTCCGCGGGAAATCCACAGAAGTGCAAACTTCACCGCAGGCTTTTATTCCAACTCTGACCTGTACAGGCGTTCACCCGGACATCGTGCTGGCGAAGACATCTGGCATGCAAGGATGGGACATCCGAGCAACACAACGTTAAACAACACGATAAGAGCAGGAGTACTCGACAAAGACTCGCTACTCCTACCCGACGGCAGAGAACTTCAACGAGTGCGAGGAACGTGCTTTACCTGCCCTGAAGCCGACTTACCTCATCAGCAGTTCGTCTCTCACCACAACCCCAGCGCTCCGGCATACGCACCACTGGAGAAAGTCTACAGCGACATACTGTTCAACCGCGAAAATGGACAAGGAACGTACAACTACGTCATCACGTTCATCGACGCCGCTACCCGCTACGTCTGGCACCTCAACCTTCCGAGCCGCGACATGGCCTTCGAAGCCTTCGTCGCCTGGCTTCCAGTAGCGGAACGAGAGTCAGGAGTAAAGCTGAAAAGCTTCCAGTCAGACGGGGGAGGAGAATATCAGTCACAAAGGTTCAAGCAGTATTTGGCAGAGAGAGGCATCAAGTGACTCATCTCCCTCCCCTATGCTCATCAACAGCAAGGCGTGGCAGAAAGAATGAACAGGACCCTCCAGAACACCATGCGCAAGCTGCTACGTGGCATGCGGCTACCCAACCACCAGTGGCCCGAGGCGATGGACCACGCTGTCATGCTGCACAACTTGCTCTCGTCATCATCGCTCCTGAACAACACATCACCGCATCTGCTGTGGACAGGAAAATTGGGCAACACAAAAATGTTACGAGTGTTCGGCTGCATGGTACAGTACCGACACCCAGCTGCACGCGCCGGTCGATTTTCCCAACGCGCACAATGGGGACTACACCTGGGCATTGAAAAACACTACAACGCGTGGAATATTTTCGACGTCCACACAAAGGAAACAGTGGCAGCACGTGACGTGATCTTCTACGAACGGCTCACACTTCCAACGTACCTGTACAACTTGGAAACTTCACGCGACGTCACAGGCGGATTTCGTGGGGACCGAGCCTTCGCTTCGGCAGCAGATGAAGCTGACTGGGACGAGCAGAACGTGGACAGAGCTTCGAAAGAAGCCGGACCTCTTCCCTACTGCTCGGTGGACATTCTAATGGACGACGATAACTCTCGCGAAAGCATCAACGCCGAAGTCTTCTACGACTTCGCTGACAACGGTTACGTTACACATCATCCGGTCGACACCAACATTTCTGAACGCGTAGGGCCCAATTCCCTACCTGATCTAGAAGAAGGAGACGAAGCAGCTTATCCAGAGGATCCAACGCTCCCCCGCTACACACAGAGTGGGCTGCAGATACTGGGACTTGTCACCACCGTCCACGGAACAACGCCGCCAAAGGAGCCTGCAACGGTTCAGCAGGCTCTGGGGGGGGAGCACAGGGAAAAATGGCGCGAAGCCATGGACAAGGAGTTAAGAGCACTGGAAGAGCGCAACACCTGGAAATTCGTACCCATCGGAGTGGCACGCAACAAGACAATACTCACCGGGAAATGGGTTTTCCGCGTGAAAACAAAGGCAGACGGAACCATCGACAAATTCAAAGCACGATGGGTCGCACGTGGCTTCGATCAAGAGCATGGACGAGACTTCACCGAAACCTTCGCGCCAGTTAGCCGACACACCTCACTGCGGATTCTCCTCGCAATAGCCGCCATGAAGTAGAAGAAGCTCCGTCAAATCGATGTCGCCAACGCCTTCCTCTACGCCCCCGTCGATGCTGAAATCTTCGTCCAACCACATGGGTCTAATGCAGACCCTAACCAAGTCTGTTAGCTGCAAAAATCCATGTACGGAATCAAGCATGCTCCGAGGCTGTGGCAACAGTACCTACACGCCCGACTAATCCGCATCGGATTCCGCCAACTACCGCATGACCAAGGCATGTACCGACTTACGAAAGATACCGACTACATTCTGCTCATCGTCTACGTGGACGATCTGCTCTACATCGGCTCGACCGACGGCATCACGACCTGGTTCGAAGGGGAGCTGCAGCGGGATCTCACACTCACCGTCTCCTCCACTGTAACACAGTATCTCAGGCTCAACATACAGGAAGGAGAGAACGCAATCTACCTCAGCGCCGCGAAATACGCCGACACCATCGCCAAGCACTTCGCACTTACCCCAGCCACTATCTCTACGCCCTACCGCTACACCACCTGAAATCACAAGGAAACAACGGCTCCGCTCAAACCCGCCGGCGTACGCGATTATCAACGAAAGCTGGGATGTCTGCTCTTCGCAGCCGTCACC